GGGCGTAATACATAAATCTGTGTGTGTAGATATCTATGTGAGAAGCAACGATTTCGGGAGGGAACACTCGGTAAAGGCACTTTTCCAATGTGGTAGGCTACCCTAGGTGATCTTCGTTTATTCAGCAAACGGCTGTGTTTTGCTCATGGCTGGTTCAGGTCCGACGTAAGAACATTTAAGAGGGCTGAACAAAGTGAGCGTTCTTTGTTTTAATTTATTTAGATGTTCGTTTGTTGGAAGCAGGGAGCTTGATTTCTCTTTCAAGTGCCAATAGCTTTCCTGTTGTAAATTATGAATGTTAGTTTTCAACTTTTTAAAGTCTTCGGTATTCTGATCTATGAAGAATTCTAAGCACAGCTTCCAGGTTAGTTGTTTTTTCATCTTGCACCGTTAATGTGACTACACACAAAGTCGTTAATTTGACTGCACAACAGTAGGTCGTTATTATGAAAAAATGCTTCACTACCTTGGTGAAAATAATAAATACCTCAGTGAGAGTGAGAGCAAATCGCCATCATTACTTCGCCCATGATAATTTGTTTGTTTTATGTTTTAGTAAGTGTTTTACGGCACTTGCAACACAAAAAGGTAATATAAGTGCCGAAGATTAGAGGTGTAACAAGAGAGTAACAAAAACAAAAAGATGTAGGAGAGATAAGGACGACAGATGTTTGAAAGGAAAGAAGAAGCTAGCAGCAAACCACACCCGAGCACCCGCAAACCACCAACAAAATTTGTTTGAAGTCCGATGAAAGGAGGGCAAGGAAAAGTGTCGGTTCGGTACGTCAAACTTGTTCTCGCAAAGAGAAGACTACAACGTTTTCAGCTGCCTTGAAAGCTCTCAGGGCGTGTTCAAAACATACTGGAAGAGATCCTTTGACTTATTCCGAGGTATTAAAAGACTTGAGAAGTCATAGAGGACAAGAGTAGCGAGAATGCCGCGCGAATGTCAAGTGCTGGAGATAAAAGTGGCGCTTCAAGCGTAGGGTATAATATGGCCTATTGCGTTGCAACAGTTACATTAATTCTTCAAGAACTTTGGCACGCTACAGGGAATTGGGTCTGCTGTCTGCTGGGGTAATAATACATGCCATGTATACATAGCGCAAAGTGCATGCCGCATAGCAAGGACTATATTATTATTATTACTATTATTATTATTATTATTATTATTATTATTATTATTATTATTATTATTATTATTATTATTATTATTATTATTATTATTATAGCTATTATTATTATTATTATTATTATTATTATAATAATACTAATTATTATTTTTATTATTGTTATTGTTGTTGCTGTTGTAGATATAATCATTGTTATGTTATAATTATATCATTATCATTACCTTAAATCTTTATACCGCAGTCTCCAAATCTCTTTCAGAAATAGTATCTTTTATACCAAAGTCTTCTATTCAACAAAGAGATAAAAGTATTTTTGATCATTGAATTCTGTTTCATTGTAAAATGAAAAACATTGAAAAACAAACAAAACAACAACATCAACAACAAAAACAACACAAAAAAGGAAAACAACAAAAACAACAACAACAAAAATAAAAACAGAAACAACAACAGCAAAAAAAAATAAAAACAACAGATGGCAAAACCGCAAAAGAATTGCCCATTTCAGCACAAAGAAAACGATAATATTGCAAGAATGTCTGTGACGAAAATCACGAATTTCATTCACTCTCGTTCATCGTGGTCTATAAGTATAATGTCGCTTAAGGACAAGCGGGTAACCCAGATTTCGGGGGTTTCCAGAAATCTTGACCTACACCAAAAGTGCGCATTGCCCTACCTCTAGGCCTTCTCAGTCTGAGAAAGCCTAGCCCTACTTACAACAGAAATTAATTTGGTTTCTATGGCGTGTACATTTATTTTTGGTTATAGCGACAATTACTCTCCTTGTCCTTTAAAGAAACCGAACAAGGAGCACAAACGTTACGTTCGATTTCTCAAAATAGTATTTTACGGGATAGCCCCCTTGTGCTTAAAAGCGACCAATTATTATTAGATCTAATTGCGTTTTGCGTGTCCATTTCTATACCTGAAGAATTGTTTTGAAATTTTTGAATCTATCTACATGATGTAGTTTAAGTGAGTAAATCTGAAAGACGAATTGATGCTGCAGAACGTAAACATAATATTATTTTACATGCAAATTTGAAGCAGAACGTTGAAAATGGGATTGCTAAATTTAAATACACTAAATGCGGTAGTTTTCTCTGTCTGTCAGTCTGTCTGTCTGTCTGTCTGTCTGTCTGTCTGTCTGTCTGTCTGTCTGTCTGTCTCTCTCTCTCTCTCTCTCTCTCTCTCTCTCACACACACTCTCTCTCCCCCCTCTCTCTTTCACTCTCGCCCTCGCCCTGTCTGTCTGTCTGTCTGTCTGTCTGTCTGTCTGTCTGTCTGTCTGTCTGTCTGTCTGTCTGTCTGTCTGTCTGTCTGTCTGTCTGTCTCTCTCTCTCTCTCTCTCTCTCTCTCTCTCTCTCTCTCTCTCTCTCTCTCTCTCTCTCTCTCTCTCTGTTAGTTTTTTTTGTAACCGCTCACGCACGCGATTTTGATTGCCTTTCAGTTTATTCACTTTTGAAGATCATGTTTTAGTATCAGTCTTCGATCTTACTGTCTTTGTTGCTCGAGCCAGTAATTTTGTTGCTGCAACAGATGTTGGTGCTCCCCTGTTTAGTTTTCAAAGATGGATGGCGTAGGTGTAATTTTTTTCATCTCTTGCCGCCCATTTATATGAGATTGACACCACCTGATTAGTAGGAAAAAGTGCGCATGATAGTGTCCAATAGTGTATTGCGTGCATACTTAATAAAACAAGTAACTGTAATAGCAGATAGAGATTCCAGGATTATACGAGATGTAAGTAATTGATTTGAGAGCTGTGATGATTTTAGAAATAATGGTGGTGATGAGTGATGATGTGGGGTTGCGTTTAAGTAATGTTAGCGTTAGTCCTATCTTCCTCTGCTCCAATGAGTCACAGGGACGATGGCGTAGGTGTAATCATTGTGTTTCTGAATTAATTAATTAGATTGTGCCCCCCCCTCTGTCTGTCTGTCTGTCTGTCTGTCTGTCTGTCTGTCTGTCTGTCTGTCTGTCTGTCTGTCTGTCTGTCTGTCTGTCTGTCTGTCTGTCTGTCTGTCTGTCTGTCTGTCTGTCTGTCTGTCTGTCTGTCTGTCTGTCTGTCTGTCTGTCTGTCTCTCTCTGTGTATGTGAGTGAGTGAGTGAGTGTGTGTGTGTGTGTGTGTGTGTGTGTGTGTGTGTGTGTGTGTGTGTGTGTGTGCATGTGCGTGCGTGCGTGATTGCGTGCGTGCGGGAGGGCGTGCGTTCGTGCGTACGGAGGTGTTCTTATGAGAGTGGAAGGAAGTGGGTACATATTTATGTATTTTATGTCAAGTTGTTCTCATTTCTAGCTTATGAAATATGTTCTTAAAGTGCACGATGAATCAGTAATCATAATATAATAATAATATTTAACGACATCAAAACTTGTTGGGAAAACTAAGGTGTGACCCACACCGACGTAAAGCCGTGAGAAGAGTATGAGTTTATTTTTTTAAAAACTAAAGAAAGAAAGAAAGAAAGAAAGAAAGAAAAAACGAAAGAAAGAACGAAAGAAAGAAAAAGAAAGAAAGAAAGAAAGAAAGAAAGAAAGAAAGCAAGCAAGAAAGTAAAAGCAGTTTCTGGCTGAGATAAAAAAGTAAATTATTTTGTATGGTCTCCGTCCTGAATGTTGATTTGGGGTCACAAGTTCTCAATTCTCTCACGAAGATTTCAAATACATAGCGGGTATTAATATGTAATTTCTCCCCACGAGCTTTCATAACAAATTTAAAAAAAAGGAGTGCCAAAGGCATTGACTCGCAACAAAAGCACAAGAACCAAACAGCAGCGCCACAGCACTGCAGATTTTCTAGACTTCAGGGTTTTCATATTTGCTGAATGGTTCAAACAAGAGTGAAGTAAAGATTAAGAAAAACATCTGAATGAGTCTTAAGTCAAAAGATTTGAACGAACGGCGAATGATTTAATTGAACCTGCATGACGCACATGTACTTCATACAAAAAAGTGGCCAAACGTTTACCTCATAATTAAATGGTCGTGTGAAGAGCAGTAACACAAGTGGATCGATGACAGAACAATAAAAGACAGGCATCAAAAAAATATTTTACTTCTCAAGAATTATCTGAATGTATTTATTGAATATTTTCAATCCTGAAAAACAGAAATATCTCAACGACTATTAAAATGAAGGATCTAAAAGGCTATGTGTGTTCAACCCTTCTGTTACACCTTGTCACGCCGTGTTACACCTTGGAACTCCTTGTCTACAGTGTTGGGGTCACTGCAGTCGGAACATGTCCATCTTTGCCCCCCCCCCCCCACCCTCTTCAGGACCCACCCCAGAGTCTGTAAACCCTTCTGTACGGCTGTGAATGCTGGACTATTCGCTACCTTACAATTACACACAGTTTACCGCCCGGGGCAGTGCCACTGACTGTAGTGTCTTTAGGCCATTCCCAAAGAGGGGGGGGGGGGGGCATTTCTCGTTCAAGCACAGTAGAATTGGAAATGGGCTGATTCATCATGTCACGCTCATAACTGTGCCTGATCTGCAACAGGGAACTGCTGCTTTTTCTTTCCTAATCCTTACTATTGTTTTGTTTGTTTGATTATTTGTGTTTTTTTCTGCTTAACTTGATGTGCGTGTTCTCACATAATATGTTATTGCTGTGTCTTTTGCAGTAAGTAACATCCCTGAAGGCGACTCAACCCTCCAGAATCTTCCGAGAGCCTCCATAGATCATAACAGGGTTGGACAGATCACCACCACCACATTGACATCGTCCCAACACCAGAGATTTGCCCCCATAGATCATAATAAGGCAAGACAGATCACCACCACGACATCGTTCCAACACCAGAGATTTGCCGTCAACTGCAGGTGTTGTAGAAGAAGAAAAGAAAAAACACCCACAATGTTCACCAGTCGCGATCTGCCGTCCTCAAGCCTGTCTTGTCTCGCGCTATCGTCGTGGTGTCTTCTCACCTGCTTGCTCACTCTGACAACAGACGCTGCTGCCACTGATGTTAGAAGCAATGCTCACGCCGCACGCATACACGAGACGATGAACCAGATCGCGAGAAAACGGCGGGAAATTACAGACGTGGTTTCCAAATCGGACATGAATAAACGAGGGTTCACGGAGGAGGAGAAAGACTCGATTATACACGTGCATAACGCCTTCAGGAGTGTCGTGGATGACCCTCCGGCCTCCAACATGCGCGAAGTGGTGAGTATCCCTTCAGGTGAGGCGTGCTGACAAAATGAGTTACTTCTCGCAATCCACAAATTTTAGTGGAGATATTGGCCAAAAATCGACACTAGGGTCATATGTTATGTAGATTTTCTGTTGATGTTCTCTACCCGTACACCCTGAGGTCATTTTGTACACCCGAGGTTGTATTTTTCACGTTTTGGAATACTTCTAGAGCGAAGAACTCTTTAAAACTTCCAGTATTTCTCTGAAAGCCATTTTGACAGACTGCTAAGCAAAGCGTACGGATCGGATCATAGAGTAAATTTCCTCTTTGGAAAGTGATGGCACAGAGTTCCCCACGTCGTATGGATACGATAGTAAAACAGGACGTACAAATAGGGTTAAGTATAACATGCCTTTTATTATTCCATATTTATATTTTGTAGAAAGTTCACCTATAAGCGTGACGTATCAATTTCCATAGGGCTTGAATCTGAGAAGGAACTCATTTTGTCAGCACGCTTCACTTGGAAGAGCACAGATGGAAACGGTTAAATATGTTCATCGTTTTATATTTTGGTCTTCATCTGAATTGCTTGGTTGTTTTGCATGTTTTATTTTGCGCATCAATACAAATTTAATAAAATAAAAAAAAAAATGAAAAAAGGGAGAAAAAAAAGAAAGAAAAGAAAAAGAAAAAGGACCAGCTATGATAGTTCGGCAGCGCATTTAAAATTTAAAAAATAACTACCCGCGCAGGGAAAGAACGACAATAGTCCATATGAACGTGTGTATGAAAAGCAATATTTGAATTAATTGTCCTCATTACTTTATAATATATATTATATATAACATATTTTAAAAAAAAGAAAGTCGTGCCGTTTTACGTCCTATGGATGTCAATCATTTTAATACCGCTTGTCCTGTCCGGACCGAAAGTCTCCGTAAATGCAAAAACAAGACAAGTTTTTTTGGTAAATGAAGTGAGCCCGTTTCTTGTCAATGCTACATTAGAGTTACAGTGCTAAGTTACCTATGTTTGTCTCCCTCTAGACTCAGACGTCTTCCTTACCCCCCAGGGCAGCAAGTGTGTTCCAAACGCCCTTTTGTTTCCCCAGAAGGGACTACTATAGTGCGGTCAAAAATTCTTCTTTAACGGGTGAATCAATGCCACCGACACTTTGCACATCAGTTTTTATTAGTTTGTCTTAACTTAATCACATTTTTTCCCACAACAACTGAGGCTTGATTGAAAAACTTTTCTTCATAAATTTATATAAAATACTATAAATCTCCATCACGCTGAAAATGGGATTGTTCACAACACTTCCCGCTCCTCGCACACATTTTGCATACGCCTATGGCCTGCGTTTCAGCTCGCCAAAGACACTTTTTAGAAGCAAAACTTCTTACAAGAAATTAATTTTATAGTGAACACATTTTTTTTTGCACTAAAGGTTCCCTAACCATACGTTCAATAAGCATAATGTTGCGATTTGGAAAAAAAATGACAGACTTACTTTTAAAAGTGATATTGCCTAAGCTGTAAACTTTTAAAAATCTGTAGAAACCATCGACTGGGAAATTTTATTAGTGTTTATTAAGGAATTTTCTAGAATACAGGGTGCCAAAGTAAAAAAAAAATATTCACCTGTTAAGACAATTTGATATAAGTCATTTTGGAGAATCTGCGTTCGATAGTTTTAAGGAGATATTTGACAATAAGTTGCGTCATGAATTTTTGACCGCACTATAGATCTACTCATCACACGATTCTGGCTCTACTTATTTATTGTTGTCACAATTCTGACATAGCGGCGAGCGGTTTGTCGAATTCTGGCATACTTCAGTAGGTCCTATTGTACTGTTTACAAATGACAAGAAGCAATTTACTGAAGTTCGAAATTTGAAGCTAGAACATGTGTGGCGTCCTAAACTATAACATGATCAGGATTATTTATTGCTCTAACCGCCCGGGAACCCTGCGTACTCGCGTTGACCAAAATCAATATTCTGCTTTTTGAGTCATCTATAAAATATTTGGAAACTTGGAAACACATGTGTCACTTTTCCCATAAAACTGCGACAACTACAGAGTTGAACGTTGGCAAGCACTTGCACAAAGATAGATAAGTTCACTTGACGGAGCCCGATTTTTGATTTATTCATTTCCTGAATTTAGAAAAATGTATTTGACAAAAAGTTTCCGTCCTTCTTTGGCCGTAGTGATTATTCCACTGAGAGGCGAAACAAATCTGCGTAGCTGTCCCTCACAGCGGAAGTGCCGGGAGTGATATTTTGCGTGGTGCATTTTGTACGATCATTCCTTTCATCGAAAGGGGGCCCAGCTTGTCCACAAGATGTTGTGTGTGGGGTCTGATCCTTAAGACGATAGCAAGTATAAGTATAAACAGAAAGGAGCCTGTGAAACTGATCTATTGGAAGTCTCCATGCAGACCTCTTATTTCCCTAGACCAGCTTCTAAGACAGTGAGAGCCGCGCATATTGTAAAATTCTACTCGAACCTGCCATTTATAGAAAAAGTTAAATACGTCTTCGTGGGTGGTTGGCAGTCGCTCTGGTTTGGTTTGCTCCTTGTTTCCTATTAAACATCTTAATAGTCCTTGTCTCTCCTCCTTCTTTTCTGTGTTTGTATTTCTCTTGCATTACTTTACTTTTATCCGCCTCTAATACCCTTTTGGGCGTCGCGGGAAGAAAGAGACGTCTCTCTGCTACCAGCCGGAGAGCTTGGGTCAGGGGGATGCGTGAGTGGTTAATGTTTCCCTGACTCCATCTATCCAGGTCTTTCTCGGTCGCCCTCTAGCCATGTTGCCTTCGCATTTTTTAAAATGTAGGCACATTGTGCTGGATGGTGCGTTGGTAATCGCTTGAGATGCCCGAATCATTTGATTCTTTGTTGTTGGGTGTGATGCATGACATCATTTGGGCTCACCATATTTCTCTCGTAACACCTATTATCTTCGGCACTTATATGACCTAATTGTGTTGTAAGTGCCGTAAAAGTATTACTACTAAAGTAAAATAATAAAAGCGTCTTCCCCACATGATACCGCAGCCACCTAGCTGTAGCGTCACAGAGAGTGGCAGGTCCAGAAAGTTCCGAATGAAAGGTTCCCGTTCCAGTAGACTTTTATCAAAAGTTTATCACCCCAAATTATAAACATCATTTCTGGCATGGTCAATCTGTTTTTAGTTTTAGTTACAGTTTATAATCCTACCCCCACCCCC